CGATCTTTAGGATCATAGGCAAAATTTTCTAACAGAAATCTGGATCAAAAGTGGGTTATCTAAACAAACAAACAAACAAAGTCAAATAAGAAATAAGGTTTAAAAACATATAATTTAACCAGATAAAATTGTTCCAGTTTTAAAACAGACATATATTTTAAGTAAAAAGGATCTGTTCTTTTCCTCCTCTATCCCCACCTTCCCTGACATAAGATGAATGCACTGTTTCAGTTTCATGAAAGCCTAATTTAAGAAAACATTCAACACAACCACATAACTCAGACCTGGAAGTCAAAGCTAACATTATAAAAGCTATCTGATTCTGTTTCCCTTTGAGTATATATTTTCCTTTTCTGTGTATGTGTGTCTGTGGGGCCTAGTGCTCCTAATCAGATATTCTCCCATCTGTAGATTGACTTCAGGCATGGCTCTCTCGATACATGGCATTTTTTCCCTCATGGCCACAATCCTAGATCTCAGATTAGAACTCTATATAACGTGAGAAATACAGCAATCACTAATCCAACAATAACAAATAAGCATGTACAGTTAACGCATGTGAATTACTAACAAAAATTCAAAGTTAAACAGGTAAACAAGAATGGGCAAATCATTAAAAATTAGTACAGTAAATATTAGTAAAATCAAGAAGGGCCTGGAGAGATGGTTCAAGGGTTATGAGCACTGACTGCACTTCCAGAGGACCTGAGTTCAATTCCCAACACCTACATGGAAGCTCACAACTGTCTGTAACTCCAAGATCTGATACCCTCACACAGACATATATGCAGGCAAAATATCAATGCACACAAAAATAATTTTTTTTAAATATTTATTTATTTATTATGTATACAATATTCTGTCTGTGTGTATGCCTGCAGGCCAGAAGAGGGCACCAGACCCCATTACAGATGGTTGTGAGCCACCATGTGGTTGCTGGGAATTGAACTCAGGACCTTTGGAAGAGCAAGCAATGCTCTCAACCTCTGAGCCATCTCTCCAGCCCCACAAAAATAATTTTTAAAAAAGGCAAGAAAATTCTAATCTTAACCTACTAATCTTAGATTGACTCTTTTACTGAGAGAGTGTGTGTGTGTGTGTGTGTGTGTGTGTGTGTGTATGTGTGTGTATGTGTGTGTGTGTGTGGTGGGGGTCCTGTCTGCCCGTCCATCCAAGAGACCAGAAGATGTCAGATCTTCTGAGGCTGGATTTAGAGGCAGTATAGATGCTAGAAAATTAAATCCAATCCTCTATAAGAACTGTCAGAATCTTAACCTCACCATCTCTCCAGCCTGCCTTGGCTACCACGCCCCACGCCCACCCCCAAGTGTTAAAGATGATACAACTCATGCCTAAATGTAAACACAATACACAATACACTATGATTTACCTTGAATGGATTGGGCTCTACTTTAATGGAAGTAAAAAGCAAATCATTATCTGGGTAGGAAGGCCCAGAAACTGCTGCAGTTATCTCCTACCATGTTATTTCAAAAAGCTGAAAGATGGCTAGGACTATCTAACCCAATGTATGTCTGTTTTCATCATAATTCCATACTATTGAGGTATTATTACCAGAGGTATTATTCCCATTTTACAGATAAATGGACAGAGACACAGAAGCAAGCTGTGCATGCAAAAGCATCTAGTAAAATGCTAAACAGAGCTAGGTTAAATCAGTGTGATCCCAAAACAATTGTCATTTTTAGTGTACAACACTAACTTTCATCTTAACTTGAAATTAAGAGTATAGCCATTCCCCTACTATAAAGAGAGCCAAACTCTCTAACAGGGGAATGGCTAATAATGGACTAACCACTTTAAAAATGATTTCATCTCAATTAAAATAAGACATTAATGTGGGCTCAATGAGTTAACATTAATGGAAAAACAAAGGAAAACAAACCAAGATCCGCATTCACTTCTGACAGGGATGAGCCACAGTTGTAGATTTTAGCTCAAAGTGCTGCTCTCTAAAAACCCAAATTTTCTACCCACATACCTGAATGCACAATACCTATCCAACACTCGGCCTCTAGGCCCTACAGCTTCTAATCCACTACCTTTTCATTCTACAACACAGACATTGGCTGGATTATCAAGGAACTTGTCCAAAACCACAGAAATAAAGACTGCAAAGGTGACAGTCATTCCCAGTTACTGTCTTTTAGCAGTGATTCAAAGCTCTCAGTCTTTGGCCATCCCAGCAATATTTCCCTTAGGACACAGCAGAACAAGGGCTCTTATTCAGAATACAATCTAAAACATAAATGCTCCTTTTATCAGAATTAAAGGAACAGTAAGTGTACATATTAATACAGGTGAAATGTTTTGGTGTGTGTCTTCTTGGAGGACTTATAACTGATATAGCTACTCTTACTAACTCATCTTAATTCTTCTTCAAAAGCTTAAAAGAGAAAGTCCTAATTATTGTGAAAGTACCGTGTACATTAATCGAAGCTGACGTGTGTAAGTCATCTTCCCTCCTTCGCAAGGGGAAAAAAATGGGGATTCTGAAAATCAAACAAAATTGTTTTCTTAACTATTTTCCATGAAAGTAGGTGGCTATTTTTTTTTTCTATCTTGTTAGTACAGAATTACAAATCTTATTTGCTACACAACTCAAAGCGTCTCTCACAGGACGAAGAGAATCTGCCACTAGGAGGTTCTTAATCAGCATCATCTGTGTTCTGTTTCAAACGTCAGCACACATATTGGTCTCCAAATTATCTCACAAAGTAGAACAATGGTACACAAAACAATAAGCCAGACTAATCTCACCACTACTCTAATTCTCCTAGGGATTAATCTCCCACCTAAGTGACAGAATGAACTGCAGCTACGTGTACCAGATTCTCTGGGGTATCACATCAGCTGCAAACAACTTCCATTTACTCAACAGCCTCAATCACCTACACCATATTACATGCTTGAAGCCACAGCTTTCTGATGGTTGTTTACTACTCTGAGCACTACAAAATCACTTAAGTCCCTGAACTTTGTTCAGCATGAGGTCTGATCTTTGAGAGAGAAGAACAAATGGCATCTCTAAAATGAAAACTAAATGCATCATACGACACAGCAGTACCTCCTCAAGTACATACCCAAAGAGACAAAGGCAGCACCTTGACTCCAGGCCCACTGCAGACTTACTTACATTAGCAAAGATATGGCAAAACACGAATGTGTCAGTAGACAAACTGTAGCATACACTTGTGCATGAGCACACAGAGACAAACAGATGGGAAGACACACACACACACACACACACTGGAATGTTCTTCAGCATCAAAAACGGATTCCTTGACATTCCAAAGAGGTAACATGAAGACTTCTCACCAGAGATCTCACAATGTAGCTCTGACTGGCCTCAAACTCACTATTTAGACCAGGTTGGCCTTGCTCTCAGAGCTCCTCCTGCCTCGGTCTCTGGGATTAAAGGTATGTGCCATCATAGAGCAGCTCAGCAGCTACTACTACTGTTATACCTGGCATCTCTTCTCTTTACCCTATATTCTTTATCATCCCTCTCTGGTCTTCCTTCTCTGTGATCACGACGTCTCTAGGCTGGTATGCCGTCAATCCCCTTTATATCCCGACGCAGAGACAAATATTCCATCCTTATTACCAGTTTTGTCTACCAATCTCCTCTGTCCAGAAATGTATTTGTCTTAGCACTCTTAAAATCTCCACTCATGTTTCAGCCAGTTTTCCACACATAGAGGTTAACAGTTTGAAAACATGAAAGACGCTGGACATGGTGACACATGTCTACCATTCAGAGCTCCTAGTTCCAGCCTAGCCTATGATACAGAAACAACCCTGTCTCAAAACAAAATAAATAAGCCATGCCACTTTATTTAAGTTCTTTATTAGTGGCTCCCAGCTGCCTATTAAACTCCAAGTTCCTTGGTATGTTCACATATGAATGCATAACATTTACATAATACACTCATAAAGCTCACTGTGACTTGATTCCCACCTGCATCCCAGCACTGGGGCTATAAAAGCAAGCTGCCATGCTCAGTACTTTACACGGGTCCTTGAGGTTCAATACAGGTCTGACTTACCTCCCAGTCAGAGACTAGAAGTTCTCCAGAAACTACCAGGTGGGGTAAGGACAGGACACTTATGGGAGCCCTGAAGCAGAACAGAATAGGACATTTCTCCTTTCCCAGGAGGTGTTTAACCTAAATTCATGGCTGAATCTACATATGCATATTTCTTGGATTCTGTTGAATCTTTTCCATAAATCAACACTGGTATTGCAAAGTGTCAAAACACTAAGGATTTCTCTCCATCTTTTTTCAAAACTGTAAATAAATCCTCAAATTCTGTCTCTCAAATTTTCCTTAGGTTCATGTAAACACTTTCTTCAGTAAAATAGAGGGTTTATCTGTTATTTACTCTTATACAAGAAACTCTAATAGATGTCATCTTAAATAGTGTTAACCTCATAACCATAACACACACTTCTGACACAGCTAAAACCCCAATTTCGTATGCTGGAGCCAATTAAGTTCAGTCTCTGAGCTGTACAACTTTCACTACTCAGTACTCAGGGCTGGGTAGCTGAAGGACTCCTGGCTCAATGACTGCTGGGTTAGCATCCTATTACTTAAATGGCAATACAGGAACAGACGTCACTACTATGTCTTTACAAAGGACAGAGGACAGGAACGAAGCAGGCAGAAACTTTCCCCACCCCTGCACATAAGATTTTAGAATGAAAGACCGAAGGGAAGGCATTTGCCCCCAAACTCTCACAGTATTAGAAAACGGGACTACTCAGAAAACAGCCCTAGGGCAGTACCTTTTCCACATGGTGACATTTACCATAAAAAAGCCCCAAAGGAAGACACCAAGGTGACCACACAGCATTAGTCTGTCCCACCCCAGGTTTCTTCATAAACTTCTTTACCGTCCCAAAGTGAAAAAAAAAATGCACATAAACAACTTTCTTTCAATGAAAGAAGAAGAAATAGCTTTAAATAACGTACCTTTGATTTTTTGTTCAGTGGCCTAAAATGAAAACAAACAAACAAAAAACAATGTAAATATGAAACTGAAAGAAATGAATTGTTATGATAAAATGCTCATATTACTATATAAGATATACATTTTATTAAAGAAATTATCATTTAGATGAACCGTATAGGAAAAGACATGCAAAGCATTCTTTTCCCATAGATGTGCCCCATTGTTCTTGATATTATGTTTAGTAATAAAAATTTCTGTAATCATTCATTAGACATAAAGCATAGAAGACATTTTATGGTGGCTTATAATTTTTCAAATGTGAGCTATATTTTTCTCATGTTATGTTTAAAATATTTTGTAATTATCACCTTTGTATAAAAAGGTTTCTTACAAATTTTGTATGTCTCAATAGCTTCAAATAATCAAAGACTAATTATATTTTCTACAAAAGTTATAAATAACCACTTTGGCCAAATCTGTAATAAACTTCTGGATATCGAGTTAATATATTATTAATTATATACAATATATTATACATAGATATCTAGACAATATATATTATATAAATTATATATCTATATAATATACAAATTTTATTACATATATTAGTATAGTTAATACAGTCAACTTTTCAATATTTGTTAGGTGAGAAAACTTTTTTAACTAACTTGTAGCTTCTGACACATCTAATGTCTCATGAAATGACTGATGAGCAGCTGAGCAGCTGAACCTGTGCCCATGTTTACTAGCTAGTTCTCTGACACCAACACCGAGGAGAAGGCTGGAGGACAGTGAGGCTCACATAGGCAACCAGCTCAAACTGTAAGGGCCTTGACAAGAACAAGAATCTGCAAGAGATGTCCCCAAGCAAAATCACCTTCTCATCAGAATTGGTATGGAGACCTGAAAGTAAGATTCAAGAATTTTCGGGTTGACTAGAAAGGCTAAATATTAGTAGCTGAATAACAAAGAATTATTTCTAAATTTAGACAAAGTTTTACCTAACTGCCTCAAGGCATAATTCATTTTGCTTTGTCAAATAAAATTATTAAGCTACCAAAAATTCCATTTTAAGTTTTATCATTATAAATATATGTAATAAAAAATGTAACAATTACTCTACTTTTGAAGCCACACCAAATGTTCATCTTCATTATGATGCTATGTCCAGTTTTAAAGCACTAGATATATAAAATAATGGAGGCCCATCTTATATTTTATGGATCAAAATTAAAAGGAAAACAGTGATGGAAGGGTAATGCTAAGAGGCCTGTCAACTACCTTGACAATAATTATTTATTTTAGGGAGAAGTAATTTTGAAAATCAGATTATAGAAAAAAAATAATTCCTTCAGAGAACTCAGTAAGAATTCTACAAAGTGTTAGAAGTGTTATATATGCTATAACTATAAAGCCAAAGAATCAGCATAAGAATTACTTTGTAAGCCCAAAGTCATTCTAAAAAAATTACATATTTTTTTCAAAGAAGATACATTGCAAGACGCAGAAATTATGACATTAAAACCAAAGGTATCCAGTGTGACTTTCCCCGACTGTGCTGGTGTGGGAAAGCAGTTTTATGTTGTTTAGAGCAGTGGTTCTCAATCTTCCTACTGCTGCAGCCCTTTAATACAGCTCATGTTGTGGAACCCCCAGCCATAAAATTCTTTTCATTACTACTTCATAACTGTAATTGTGTTACTGTTATGAATCATAAGGTAAATAACTGTGTTTTCCAATGATCTTAAGCAACCAAGAGTTTGACCCTCCTCACCAAAGGGGTCACGACCCACAGGTTAAGAGTAGCTGTTCTAGAATAATTGACAGCCTCACCAGTATTCCTGTCTCCTATAGAGAATGGCCCTGAGGAGGTAATCCAAGGTCTCTAACCCTGAAAACACTAACCTAACAGGGTGAAGGAACATCGGCAATAGAAATCAAGAGCTCCCTACAACTGAAGAGAAGTAAATGCAAGTGGTAGAATTTTGCTTCTTTAAAGCAGGTTTCTGGAACCTCGTCCAAGAACACAGTATGATCAACAAATTATTATAATGGGAGTTTCCAAGTGGGCCCCGTATTTTAATAGTGATTGTCTCTATTGCCTTAAACTGTAGCCATTAGTCATACATATGACTACTGACCATGGAAATAAGGCCAGTTTAAGTGGAGATCTTCAAAATATATACCAGATTTCTAATAGTGAAAAATTTTCAAAGAATAAAAGCTACTTTATTAAAAATATTGTGTATGAATTATATATTAAAACAGCAATATTTGGGCTCTATACTAAATTACATAAATATATTAGAATTGTCCTTTATATTTTCTTGTGTTGTTTTTTAAATAGGTTTCACTATGTATCCCTGACTGCCATGGAACTAACAGAAATGCTTCTTTCTGTCTCTGCCTCCCAAGTGCTGGGACTAAAAACTGTTTCTTTTTTACTTTTAAATGATCCTTCCTTTTCAACTCTCTGAGTCTCACTTCCTAGTTCTTCAAAAGGGGAAGTTACCAGTTCATATTTCAGAATTATTTTGAGGATTAAGCAATAAAACATTACAGATTAGATTAGGAAAATACATGACATTATAGATATAGTTACTCTACAAAACAATTACAAGGTTCTAACAAATCAAACATGGAAGCAAACAGTTGGCATTTTAAATATTTAACATTTTTCACTTTAAAACAATCTTTCGTTGTGATTCTACAAATGGAGACACTAGATAGGAGTGGACAGGACAATGGATGCTTCATTCCCAGTAGTTCTGCAGTGCCTGCCTAACTTTCAAAGTGTCTAAGCAAACTATAGGGGCTCAGGTTCTGAACCATGCCTTTATTACTGACAATGTGTGACTTAATCAAACTACTCAACTTTTCTAAATTAGCTAACGTTCTACCTCATCTGCAAAACAGAGGCGAATGCCCTTCTCTCCGCACTGTCATGAGGCTCAGGACTTCAGATTGGCTCAAATGAAGGAACAGGACACTGGGGAGCAGTCAGTAGGTATACGTTCCTGCTGCTGTCAGCTAAACTGCCTACCTGAGCGTTAGCTCATTTCTACCTCTCACATTTGTAAATGTGCTGACACCCCCCCCCGCCCCCGCCAGTTCTTCGTCTTTCTCCTTTCTGATCATCTACAACACCTTCCCAATATTATAATTGAACAGTGGTGGTGTGAATAAGAATGCCTCCCACAGGCTCAAATGTTTGAATACTTGGTCCCCAGTTTGTCAACTGAATTAAAAGTGAGGCACTGTTGAAGGAAATATATCCTTGGGAATAAGCTTTGTGGTTCAAAAGCCCACACCATTTCTCAGTGAGCTCTCTCTGCCTCTTGCTTGTGGATCAATTGCCCCAATGCCATGTCTGCCTGCCACGATGGTCACGGACTCTTATCCTCTGGAATTGAGTCCTGGTAAACTCTTCTGTGAATTGCCTTGGTCATGGTGTCTCTTCACATAGAAAAGTAACTAAGATATCCATGGGAGGCCTGTCCTTTTCTGAACAGAAACAGAGGGGTGGGTGGAGTGAGGGAACTGGGAAGAGAAGAGGGAGGAGAAACTGCAGTCATGATGTTTTTTTTAAAGTAACAAAGACACAAAAGAATAAAGAATTAATCTAGTTCAACTCACTTTTTTTCTTCCTTTTTTTTTTTTTGTTTGTTTTTCAAGGCAGGGTTTTGCTGTTTTTCTGTGTAGCCCTGACTGTCCTGGAACTCAATTCTGTAGACCAGGCTGGCCTCAAACTCAAAGATCCACTTGCCTGTCTCTGTCTCCTGAGTGCTAGGGTTAAAGGCCTGAGTCACACCAGGCTCAACTTTTTAAAAATGAGGTAAGTACTACCCAATAGTCTTTCCTATGAGTTAGCAAATGGTAGCTAGTCTGAGGAAGAACAGGGGTGTGAAAGGACAGAGCCATAGGGACAGCATTTCAGCGCCCTCAATGAGTGCTCCTCAGTCTGGTCCTGTTATCACCAAGGTTACAGAGAAACGCACTGATGAGACTCTATGCATTATCCCCAAAGGGAGGAAAGAAGTTAGATGTTTCTACAACCTAAGTCTCTTTTAGGCTTTAGTAACTCACATCCATAAAACCTGTAAAAGTCCCTTCAATTCAAACAGTAACAGCAACTAAAATAGCATTAATGTTAAAATATACTTTATATCAGGAAATACCAGTTTGTATTATTGTTTTCCCCAACCCTTCACTATTATAGCTTTCTAGAAACTACAATTACATGTTTAAGTGAAGGATATTCTAAATTATCCCTCCATAATTAACCTATTTCTCAACCTCCCTTTTCTTCACTGCAGTTCCCTGAAGATCCCTTTTGAAATTTTTCTTCTAAAAATGGAACCTGGGGAGAGATTTGTGCTAGCCCTTGTGTTGCTGCTGTTGCCCTATCCCCTCTTAATGGCTGAAACTATGCCTGTGCGCCATCAAATTATTTTCTAGGTCTAAGAATCAGAAGGTTCTTCATTATATGAAAAGCACTGTACATACATAGCCACATTTTTATAACAGAAAAATGTTAAAAATGAAGTCATCCATAAAGCAAAGGATAACCAGCCTACAGTCCATCATCTCAGAGAACCCAGACAACAAAGAAGACTCTAAGAAAGACATACATGGATCTGCTTAGGAAAGAGGAAAAGCAAGATCTCTTGAGTAAATTGGGAGCATGGGGGGCAAAGTGGGAGGGTAGAGGGGAGAGGAGGAAAAATGTATAGCTCAATAAAAACAATTTTTTAAAAAACCTGGGGGAAAAATGCAGTCATAAACTCACTGAGCTCCATGTTCATTTACTAGGGTAGAAAATGTCATTTTTAAAAGTACCCAATTTACTAAATATTTAAACATATACTTTAATAACAAAATAAGAAAGACTTATAGTTAAAATACTAGAGTGAATTTTGAGGTTTCTAATAAGCTATCAAGGGGGGAAGGGCATAGGACTCTGGTTTAGTGTAGAGCTTCCTTACTTAGTAGGCTCAAAGCTGTGTTTAATATCTCACTCAAATAAAGAAATTGTGTTACTCGGTTCTTTATTTGAAGCAAAAAAAAAGCGCATGATATGAACTTATATTTCAAAGGCACACAGGGGCTGTTAGGAAATTAAATCTACATGTTTTCTGTATTCGTAGCAAGATAAACTACATTTTATCTCCTATTATAAAATTTTCCTTAATATATTATATCTCAATTTAAAAGTTTACAAGGTAACACTGCATAGAAAGCAGAGTGCTGTGATAGTTTTGAATAGAAACCCTAATGGGAAAAGAAGGTTTCAATTTTACTTCTGCTTCTGTTGCCTTGATGAAACTAAGGTTAGCCACTGAAATCACGTATACTGAACACAAACAGATTAGAACAGGTAGCAGCTGAAGTCTTCAGAAGTGAGAGTGCATGGCTAATACATCCTAGAGCAGGCAGATTATGATGAGCGGATGTTCAAATACTCATGTGAAAATGGTCCTGCCCACCTGACTCATGTTTGTCTCCTACCACCTACTGGAGTTTACTTGCTGGCTCCTACATGAAACAAAAAGAAAGCTCCACAAAGCTTGTCTTAACAGTTTGTGACTCACGGTCTTTCATATGAGCCAATCTGGAAGTTTCCTCTTTTTTAAGGAACTATTTGGTAGCAGTGTATGGAAATACCAGCTGTCCTTATTTTGCCAACAGGTTGCATTCAAATTCAGTTTTCTGCAACTTAGAGAAGCTGTATTTACAGTGACAGTCTAGACAACGAAATTTAACAATAACTGAGGGCTTTAGCCTTTCCTTTAGACTGTTCAGTGGATAGATAGGATACACACAATAACCTGTTCATGTGGGAGATCTAGTAAACAAGACATTTTTATCTCTCAGCCTCTGATGGTTCTAGTGGGACATGATGAGAATGTGAAGGTGGAAACAATAGCTAAGTGGGAAAAGAGTAAAAACTTGTCACTGCAGATTTGATGAGATGCCAAATAACAGGATAAATCCCATTCAAGTGCTACATGTAAATTTATGCATACATAAGGGAGTAGTTTTACTGACTTGGTGATTTAAAAAGTTGATTGTGAGGGGAAAAAATAAACTTTAGTAATTGAGTCATTATTTCTATATGCTATGATTTAAAATTACACTACAAAATAGTGCTTAGAGAAATTATTCTACTAAATGTCTTCCTTTTGCAGAATTTTCTCAGTGAGCAGGGCTTATTCCAAACACATATGCCTAAACATTACTTAGGCTCTTTCCCAGATATTTTGTACTGTAGCTTACCAGCTAAATCTTGAACTACTTAGGACCAACAAGGCCTAAGGCAACAAACACTAAGACGCTTGTCAAACAAGATTCTACATTAAGTACACCAAGCAGCCTACTCACCAGCTTCTAGTTTATTTCAGAAGTTCTTTTAAGGGCAAATGACACCATGGCCCAAGAATACAGTAAGCTTTTTCTAACCTTAGACATAGAGGACACAACTCTTTCATAAATACCAAATAAAGATGGACCAAACTGCTAAGACCATACAATATCAAAAAGCCTCTGGTGGAAGCCCATGGCATGAGCCAACGTAAGAGCCCTATACAAACTCATACTATGCATATACTATGTATTCTTTTCTGCTTCCCCTGAGAGCAACCAGACTAGACTGACAGATTAGTGTCCCCTACCATTCCTCTTCACACTCAGTCCTCCAAAGAGCTCTGTACTCCATCCCGCCCCAGAATACCTGCTAGGTGCACCACCTAGAACTGATTTATCACTTCTCCTTGGTCTGTATTATCTAAGTAGGTTAACTGATCCCAAATATACTTCATCACTCAATACAGAATCTAAAAGTCAAGCTAGATGTTCTATCTTCATAGCCACTAAGCAAATTCTATGGGTTATGTCAATAATCCCTTAAGCCAGTCAATCCCTTCCAATGCAACTCAACACTTTCCTAAGGTAAAATACAAACTTTCATGTCATTCACTAAAAAATTGTCAATAACTTCCTCAAGAAGAGAATTTGCCTACCACTACCTGCTTCTGAGTCATCTCCTGATATTCCTACACCCTCCCCCCACCTCACACCAAGCTTCCACATTTTAGGATGTACAGACTACAAATTCCTCATTCTGAGTTTACTGTGCTTCGGGTACTTTTCTGCTCCTTAATCACCTGACTCATTTCTATCCTAGGAAAATGTCCTGTTTCTCTCACTCCATCTCAGGCTAAGGATCTTCCTCTGTGCCTCTAGAGATGCCCATAAAGATACACTTTATTTATGTGCCCTGATGTGTGCTGTTTCTTAATGAATGACGAGAAGCGAAGTGCCCTGCTGTACTTAGTCCAGTTCCTAGCACCTAAGAGAGGGATGCACTGTAAAAGCATAGCAGGACTTTTTCATTAAAAGAATGAACAGTAACTGCTGGGTCTTTTAGAGCAATTGAAAGTCCTTGAGAATTTCGACAGAGAAGACTGAGGGTTAGTTAGGTTTGCTAACTTGGCATGCTCTGCTTCGGGTCAGCTTCTTATCCTGTATTTTGTGTGCCACAGTTCTTCTCTCCAGTAAATGCTTTAGGCCTTGTTTTAAAGTATCTTAATTTAAACTGAAAATATATAAAGTCAGGACTAGTATCAAATAAAAAGGGACTTTTATTCTTTATCCTGTCAAAACTTGCTTAAATATAGTTTACATTATTTCCTACTTTTGCACATGTATTTTATCACCTCATTTAACTCAACACTTACAAAATGTAAAGAAACTGAGGCCTAGGAAGTCTAAATAAAATTGATGGACACATCATTCTATGAGTATATGAGCAAGTAAGACTTCAAAACCATGTCTATCTTCATAGTCACTAAGTTATATATAACTGTACAGCTACAAATTCTGTGCTCTTCCAATTTATAAAATTATAATGAAATACATAGAAATCACTAATTGAAAGAAAAAGACCTATGAGATGTACTTACCTTTGAAAAACTCAAAACCAGTAAGATTATCTATGCATTGAATTACACATTCAGCAAACTACTATATATGCACATTCAAAGACATTAAATATTAACATGAATCTTCAATGAAGTTAACAAACTTAAGCAGATGCTTTAACAAAGCCATGAGTAATTTCCTTTTACTCTACGTTCAAACTGCTTAACAAAGTTTATCACATACATACTACCTTCTTTTGAGCAGCTTCCTTCTTTTTCTTGTCGTCTTTTTTCTTTTTCTTTTCTTCCATCAACTGTTCTTCTTCTTGCACTAAATCCCTGAACCACACAGTTGCAATTAACTTTCCCAAAATGGATTTGGAAATAAAAATAATGTTGCAAACAGGTTCATTTTCACTTATAAGAAATAGAGCAAATTTGTCTTTATTCAACACAATTTGCGACCTAGCCACACAGCTACCATGTAGTACAATTTACTTTTCTTTAATTGACATAGCCTTCCTTCACAAGTATGAAGGCTTTCATCTTAATGTCATATCAAGGAAGGCAACAAAAAAAATGACAAGTTTTACACTGGGAAATTCAAGTTCCTTCCAATTCTAGGATATAAACACTGTGTAAGTTGTAGTTAGCTTGCTAAGGGTCCCAATTATCAAGCAGTACCTAATGGTGATGGGCTGGGATGGTCCTAGGATGGGCTTTCTCTGCTCTCTTACAGTAGTGTGTGCATATGTTTGTGGGTATGTGTGTGCATGAGTGAACATACTTTGTGAATATGAATCAAAGAACTCAGAGCCCTGCATATGTTAGGCAAGAGTTCCATCACTGAGCTACACACCCAGTCATACACATTGTTCAAATACAAGTTATTCATAAATAGATAACATGTATTTTAGCATTATAATAATCTCAAACTATTCTTTCTTTGGAAACAATAATATATTCATTTAAGTTTGTTTAAATTTTTAGAAACTCAAAATTTCAAAGTTGCCAACAGAAAGATCCTCTTGTTCAGGGTATCAGGACTAGAGAAACTGCTTCCTCTTTCTCCCTCCACCTCACTGAAATTCAGAGAGAAATTAATAATGAACTACAACAAAGGGAATCATGTCCAATGATAAACATACAAGTTTTAGGTAGATATACCTGCCACCCCTTTAGTAGAGCGCTAGAAAACATTTAAGACGGGAACAACAGGAGCAGAAAGACATTGGTGGAGGGATTACATAAGGAATAGAAAAGGCAGACACTGGCGGGGGAAGGGGGGACAACATAAGGAACAGAAAAGCCAGATCCACTACAGCCACAACCACATCAACAACTCTAATCCCTGAGTCCTTCCTGTCTGCATGGTTACAGGAAGTATCTGCTTTAAAAACCTACCTAAAACTGAAAAGAATGCTCTCTAAGGAAACTAAAACTTCCAAAGGAGGCTCACAGGTCTCTTCCCAAAGTGCACAGCTCTCCTTATTGGAGGCTACTGGTTCTCCATCCATCACTCAAGTGGGGCCTGTCCATTCACATGGTGCTTTGGATTAGTCCTATCATTCAAGGACAGTCTACTCAGAAAAGAAAGCTATGAAAATACGGAGGAACCTCTCTAGCTACCTTCATTAGTCAGCCTAGAGTCTAAGTTTCATAATACGAATAAGAACTGTTCTGCATATTGAAGAAAACCATCATATCCAAAAACAGTATCTAACTGCCCTAAATAAGTTTTCTGGAGGACACACTATAAACAACAGGCAGTCATGAAGAGGTTCAGTGGGAAACATAACCATTTGTTAAGGCTGAATGACAGTGGGGATGTAACAAAATAAAACCAGAAAGATAGATAAATCTGGAAACTGGAAGAGCTTAAATCTAGCCTTTCTGATGGAAGTGAGGGAGGGATGTAAATAGACTGAGAAAACAGAAAAGACTGGCATCATGCACAACTGAAATAACAGATTCACGCCAGATGCATAATTAGACTCCTTTATATTCTATGTAAGGACCATCCCAACAAAGTCAAAGGCCAAGGTGACCACAGTATACAAGAGTGGCAGATTGAATGGCATACACAAAGATAAGGGTATGTCCACAGGGACATAGGGAGAACTCAAAAACAAAAGCCTTACTGTCACCATGTCAGAACTGGGATACAGTCACATATGGTGGCACATGCCTGTAAATACCAGTGTGCATACGCAAGAGGATCACAAGTTTGAGGCTAGCCTATGCTACATAGTGAGGTAGGTCCTATATCAGAAAAAACAAAAACATGTTTGCATCACAGTATTTCCCAAGGCTAAGATAAGGAGTGTTTATTAACTACCATGGTCTCCAGTGGCATCCAAAGAATGACCCCACTTGTGTCAAGATATCACTCTTAATAGCATTTGTTCTTCATGGCCTTCTGGCAACTACAAGCTCATCCTTTTCTGATTCTTCTCCTTTCTTAAACTTTATTTAGTACTTGTTTTCCAAAGTTAGCAAGTGTCTTCTTAGTATTTATGGCACATGCTGCAGATCTCAAAATGTAATAGGGGTTAATAATTGGCATTCAAAGGATAGGGGAAAAGTTATTCAATACTGTCCTTACCACTCATGCTTTCCCCAAAGAGAAACATACAGACTGTCTATCTCTGTCCCTGTCCCTCTCCCTCCCCCCCTCTCAGTTTTCACATGTTCCACAGTTCCAATATTTTAGTCATACTCCCTTCAAGGCTAGTAGGAGGATATTTCAAAGCTATCATTCTATGAATCTACATGCTGCTAAACAGAAACTGGGCTCCCCCTGAAAGGCTCTCCTTCTACGAGAACTTAGTATTCTTACTTATAGCCTGCACCACATATAAAGCCTCTGAGTGCCCAAAGGGAATCTTGTAGGAATCAGAAATGCTCTGACTGGAGTGGAGTTTATATAGCTGTATACATTTGCTACACCTACTACCTAGAATCAAAATGTAAATGTCATTGTATATAAACTGCATCTCCCATGTGATTTTCTTTTAATTTTAATTTTAATTTTAATTTTATGTGTATGCTGCCAGGCAGCACTAGGGACCTTAAACTTTCAGGGGCCAGCAAAATGAATCAGAGGGTGTCACCAAGCTTGACCATGTGAGTTCTTTTCTTTCTTTTTTTTTTTCTTTTTTGGATTTTCGAGACAGGGTTTCTCTGTGGCTTTGGAGCCTGTCCTGGAACTAGCTCTGTAGACCAGGCTGGTCTCGAACTCACAGAGATCCACCTGCCTCTGCCTCCCGAGTACTGGGATTAAAGGCGTGCGCCACCACCACCCGGCTTGACCATATGAGTTCTATCCTCAGGACCCACCCAGTAGGCGAGAAGTGGTTTCTGCAGGTGGTCCTCTGACCTGCCCCTTTCCACTACCCCCCACCAGACAATAAATAAATGGTTTTAAAAATTTTAAGAAATTTCATTTTTTTCTCCTGTGAATGTATATGAGACAATGATAAGGGACAAACTAGACCATAACAAGTAAATACTGTAAAATCTGGCCCTGTGCAGTTGGAGAGTTTTAAAAACATAAGAGAAACGAGCTAGTGAGATAGCACCTCAGATAAAGGTGCCTACCACCAAACCTGACTGATAACCTGAGTTTGAGTCCCAGGAATCACATGTGAAAGGGGAGAGAAATGGCTCCTTCTTAGTTGTCCTCTGACTTGCATTACATTATGACATACACACGTGCTCACAGTAAATAAACACAGTAACAAAATAAAAATCAAAAAAGTAAAACACAAAATCATAAAACTTTTTGGAAGTATGGCAGCGGTATGGCAAGTAATATAACAGACAGACAGACAGACAGACAGACAGCTATCATTCTACCACCATCCTTGAGGATGTCTTACAGCAGTGAAGCACTAGAGCATAAGGCATATGCATATGAAAGTTCACTGCAAGTCTCTCTGAAAGCAAACACTGCAAGTCCCATCAATGAGGAAGCCGCTGCTGCATGAAAAGCATAATGAAAAGGAGCCTATCTGCTTACTCACTGGAAGGAATGCCCCTAATGTAGGAAAGGGAAAACACAAGTTGCAGATTCTCTATTTTTTAAGTAGTGTGTCAGTGTTACATTACACATTCAAGATGATTCTCAGGTGATTCATTAATCCCAAGCCACTGGAAAGGGAATAATACATAAGTGAATACTATAAAACAATAGCAGCAGACTAATCCAGAGGAAAACATTAAGCTATAGTATAGGCATGCCAGACAGTTAAATGTTGATGGAACTAGGCTTGCATGGTGTGCTGAAATGAGTTAATAAAATCAGCACAGTAGGTGTTAACTACAAACTGATCCTTGGCCTATATCAGAAAATTGGATTTCAATGGCGTTCATTCCATAACTGATGAGAGTAGGTACCGGTGCCTGAACTGCACAAGTACTACAATCCACCTCAACACCTTATTGTTTCCTCCAAATATGACATGAAACCAGTCTCCAAGAGAAGCCTTGAGCAATAAATTTATTTTTTATCTACTTTTATTTATTTTTATGTGTACAAATGCTTTTGTTTGCATGTGTGTCTGTGCACGTGTGCCTGGTACCCGAGGAAGTCAGAAGACAGCTTCACACCCTCTGGAACTTGAGTTATAGGTGGTTGTGAGCCACTATGTAGACGGTGGGAATCTAACCTAAGTCCTCCACAAGAACAAGTGCTTTTAACTGCTGAGTCATCACTCCAGCCCAAGGACAATAAATTTCTAACAAGCCTTGCCTCTGGCAAATTATCTTAAAAATGTTTCCCTTTGACAGGAGGAAAATTAAGCATATCTTCTTTAACTGCATGGAGTGGAACTCTGGAAGCTGACACCTAGTTTCCTCAGAGATTTAACCTATATACCTGTTTCCTTTGTTGATTTTTTTTTTCAATTTCCTTTCATTTTGAGGGACCTGGAGTTAAGACATATTCCCTGATAGGCAGAAAGACAAGGAGAGGGACCATCCATGACTAGCTAATGAAGGTGGTGAACTTCCAAGAAGGCTGGCTTCTTCCTCACCCTCCTAACCTAGGACAAAAGCCTGACAGTTTAAAACAAAGGCCTTGTGGGCATTTTCTCCCTCCACTGGTTCCCTACTGAGGGTCAATCAGCCATTCTGGCTTTCTTCAAACTGACCAACCCTAAATTAGGGGAAAAAATCCTTCAAAAACTTTTTAAATCCCCACCACTCAAGGAGAGGCTAGGCTTCAGCTTCCAAGGTCCCTACTTTGCTTTGCAGTCATTTTTGTGTGCTTTCTGTGTGTGTTTTCTCTCCCCAATAAAAGCCTTTATTGGTAGAGTCTGTCTACTGTGTTTAAGAATTTCCCCACTTCTACTTGTCATTCTCGAAACTTTCCCCCCTGCCTTTTAATTATTTAATTGTCAGGGAAAGTGAACCCGATCAGGATCCCTGAGCAGTAACGGCTGCACAAATATTCCATACAACTACATGCTGAATCCTGTAGGTCTTCCTCACCAACTATAAAACCTGAGAGGGAGAATTTCTACAGACAAAAAAAAAAAAAAAAAAAAAAAAAAAGTAGCTTTTCCAGTCAAGAGAGCACAGAATGACATGAATCCCGGGAAGCATAAAGACTGGTTAGCCTGACAGGTTAACAGGATTGATACACAATGGAATCTTGACAAGAAGTAAGTGTTGGGTAAAAATAGGCAGCAGAATGTACAGTGAGAAGTAATCCAAGTGAATGTGTAATGCCCAAACCTCAATGCAAAGGAAAAGCAAAGCCAGCACAGTGGGGCAGCTGACAGCATGAAGGAAAAATACTGATGGTAACTAGACTTTAAAGTTGGTCAGAAAAACAACAATGAAGCACGGATGGGTGGTTAGAGTTGCTGTAGGAACAGAAACAAGAGGTAACGTTTCTGATGGCCCAGTCAGGGCCACCCTCACACACACATCAAGTGCATGCTCACTCTTGTTATAAACCCCTATCTACCCTCTTTTCTCCTGATGCCCCCCACCCATTCCTCATGGCTTTACTGCTTTCCTCTTCACATTCTCCTCAGTCTTGATTTCTGTGTTGATCAATAAACTAGTCAGTGCTAGACAGTAAAGTCACTGGTAACCTAATTAACATCAGCAGATAGTAGGATGGAAACCCAATCACAGCATAAACTGGTAAGGGAATGAGTCAGCTGAGTCAGTTTCTCCAATAACTCCTGTAGTAAAAAGAAATGAAAGGAAAAGGGGCTATACTACGTGGAGATGGAAGGTGACCAGCACGAAGGAAGGACGGGGGATGGAGAAGACACTGAGGGAGAAAGAGGAAGAGCAGCAGAGTAGACTGACATATATGTATGAAAACACCATATCCAAATGAATTACTTTTCATGCAAACTACAAAATATTAACTTAAAAACAAGTCAAACCCAGCAACACATGTCTGTAATCCCAGCAGTTGGAAGGTATAAACAGGAAGATTCAAGGTCTGCCTCAGCTACACTGAGATTTCAAGACACCAGCTTGAAGTACAAGATACTCTCTTTCAAACTATGTAAGGTAAGAAAAGGAAGAGACAATAGGCAAACCAAAAGCAATGAGGCTCCAGGTGACACATAATCCGGGTCTCACTAGACCTCCCATTACTCCCAGAACTTGTGCAATAAAATAACATTAATAAAAAATTATAAGCCTCTGAAAAGAATCTGTGATTCCACATTGATGTGGATGAATCATCAAGTAAATAAAGAATGAAGATTGATCTTCACTGTAAAATATACACTGATGAAAAAGAATACGTACATGTTGTCAAAGTATGACGAAACCTGATGTACAGTTAACATCCGTGGCAATGAGACGAAGTGACTTCATGAATTTCCCCACACAAAGAAAAGCACCTCGGTCCCCTATGCTGCTTCTGTCCAAAACACAGCTCTGGACCTAATGAGGAGCTCCAGGCAAACAGAAACAGAGAGTCAACCTACAAAACAGCTTCACTCTTTATACACCAAAAATCTGCACAACAAAGAACTGCAACCCAGTGCCAGAGTACAGGCAGGTAAACCAAATATAACCTGTGGCCTTACATTGACTCTCCAACCAGAAAAAATAAAATAAATATTTTTTCTTTTTGCCTTGATATGACGAACATTACTGAAACAATACATAAAATGTTAATAAGGTCTTCTCATTAGCAATTACGAATGTCAGTGTTATTTCCCCAACTATGAGAACTGCACTCTAATTACTAAGAAAATACCTTTGATTTTAGAAAATGCAAGCTTTTAGGGGTAGAAGAGCATCTTGTTACAAGCAAGTTTCTCTCAAGCAGTAAAAATACTATGCATATAAAAAGGAGGACTAATAATGAAAGTTTAGGTTGAGAAAAGTTAGTCAAATAGATATCCCACCACGAGGAAAGCAGCACTCTGTAGTCTACAGGGTTGGAACTATTTATTTTGGACCTACAACCTGAAATACTAGTTCCATTCCCATCGACTGTTAAAAACACTCTTCCATAGCTTGTCAGGTACAGGCTAAGGTAAAGCTGCCTACCTAAATCCCTAAGTCCCACTTCCCTTCTGAAGCTTAGCTCAATTACTACTTCCTTCACATTTCTTTCCAACCAATACAAACCTCACCCTTGACCTTCAATTAAACAATATACATGGTCTAATTATTTTAGATGTTAATCTCACTGCTCCAGAAAGGACTAATTACTGGTCCAGGGACAAAACCAGTTCTACTTGAACTGTACTCCCTGGCAGAGAGAGGCTCTTAATTAGACAACAATTCCTGCTTCCTTCCCTTTACTAACATTCCCTAACTGTGCTCCTTTCATTTATTCCCACCACATATTACTTCTTCAAAGACGGGATCAAAGCAGCCCTTTCTAAGCACAGCTTGCAGTGCAGAGTTCTGGGGCCCATGTCAAGAAGAGGAGAAGTTAACCCTCAACTCCAGCAGCAGCTTGTGTGGCCTTCCAAAGGTGTGTAACATCTCACAAGCCTCTGTCCTCTAATTAGTGACGTCCAGCTGTACCTCTCTGAAAAGGCTGTTGTGAAGATTAAATTAGGCAATACAGATAAAGTGCTAACTGAAGGCACATAGTAAGGGTACACTAATCATCAGGCTACAGAAAACTCAGGACACTGTGAGTGACAAGCTGGGACAGAAAGAAGTTGGAGCAAGAATATAGAGAAAATAGAAATGAATACATAAAAACAACTCAGTGCAGCATATGAAACACCCCAAAGCAACAGCTAACCCCCCAGATTCCAAGTCAAAATCAATTACAATGTTAACAGAATGAAGACAGCTCTACATGATGCCATCAGTACACAAGAGCAGCAGTCACAAAAATGAAAAATGCTTTCACCAAGAAAATAAATCCAACTGGATTTAGAAAATGTCATTAAACTGACAGAGGGCAGTTACAGAAAAGCCCAGAGTTTAGGACACTTGTCTTTCAACACTATACGAAACAGACAAAACAAAAACAACAGGGGCTGGAGATATAACACACTAGTTAAGAACACTGTTCTTTCAGAGAACTCCAGTTTGGTGGCAGCTCACAACCATTTGTAACTCCAGTGCCAGGGGATTCAACAGCCTCTTCTGACCTTCACAGGCACAGACACACTTGCAGGCAAAACACCCATACGCATGCATAAAATAACAAGAAAAAAGGAAGGCCGCGGGTAGGCAGGCTGGCTGGCTGGCCAAAGTGAAAGGGAAGGAGGGTTCACTCAAACACACAGCAAGATCAGAAAGGAATATGGTACACCTATCTCTATTCACAGATAGCATAGACGGTAGAATAGCTGTGATGTAGTACAAGCTCAGCATACTTAGTAAGGTCCTAGTGTCGATCCTTGGTACCAATTAAAAATATATAATACTTAGGAATAAATTTTACAAAAGAAGTACAAACCGTATATTTAAAACACAGTATATCTTTGAAAAAGTAAAGGCCAAAATAACTGGAAAGATTCTATATTTATGAACAACTAGAAGACTTAGTGTCATTAAAATGGTGATATTATCTAAGCTGATCTACAAACTGATCTTAAAAAAAACTCTACTTTTTCATTAAAACTGACAAGCTGATCCTAAAATTCACACAAGGGGAACTAATGCACTCCTGAGAAGGAGAATGGAGGATTCATTTCAAGCCTGCTAACTACAACGCCACAGTAACAAAGAGACTGGAAACTGGCCTACAGATAGCTGACCAACCAAATGTTACAGCTACAGAATCCTGAGACAACGCCCTTCAGAATGAGCAACTGACCTTCAAGAACACCAGAGAAACCATCTTTTCAACAAATGGTGCCAAACAACTGGAAAATTGGAAGAATGAAATTGGAGCCTTCATATCATGCACAAAAACAACTCAAAATGCGATGACAGACCTAAGTGTAAAAACCATAAAACTGGGGCTGGAGAGATGGCTCAGTACTTAAGAGCATTGCCTGCTCTTCCAAAGGTCCTGAGTTCAATTCCAGGCAACCACATGGTGGCTCACAACCATCTGTAATGAGGTCTGGTGCCCTCTTCTGGCCTGCAGACATATACACAGACAGAATATTGTATACATAATAAATAAATACATACATACATACCATAAAACTGTTGGGAAACAAAATTTTTTGCAACCTTAGAATGAGTACCAATAGCACAAGCAACAGTATTATAGGTAAGTAGACCTAAATATTTGTGCTTCAAGGAACCAACAAGAAAGTGAAAAATTACATAGGAGAAAATACTTGTAAATCATAAGCATAAATACATAATATATAGATATAACACATTAAGAACTCTCAAAACTCAACAATACAAAATACACCCCAAAACTTATGTGGTATGCATGCTTATACACCCAGTTTTTGGAGGAGGAGGAGAAGCAAGAAGGTCAAGGAGTTCAAAGTCATCCTCAGCTACATATCAGGTTTGAGGCTAGCCTGTGCTACTTGAAACCCTGCTTCAAAAAACTGAAAACCAATCCACTTAAAAATTTAAAAACAAGCCAGACATGGTGGTGGACATTTTTAACCCCAGAACTTAGAAAGAAAGCAAAACAGGTTCCAGGCCAGAGTAGCAGTGAGACCGTGAAGGGAGGAGAGGACAAAGCTGGAATTTAAAGACAGAGACTATAAATAGACATTTCTCCAAGTCAAACATCCAATAAAGGCCATGAAAAAATGCTCAACTTCATCAGTCATTAGGGAAATGCAAATCAGAACCACAACGAGTTGTCTTCATCCACAAAGATGCCTGCCTACCAATTAATAAGGACAAGTGTCAGCAAGGATGTGTACAAGGGCAGCTGCTGGTGAAGAGAATGACTTGACTACATTGTACACCTCCTGGCAGTTCCTCAAAAGGTTACAGCTACCAGACGACCCAGTAATTAATTCCATTCCTAGGTAGATATTCAATAGAAGTAAACCATCCATACAAATATACTAGCACACAAATGTTAATGGAGCATTAGTCAACTCTTAAGTGAAAACAACTGAAACACCTACTAAGTGATGCAGAGATAAATACAATGTGGCACAGTGCTGAGGTCGCACCTTAGCAACGCAGTACATGCTTGGCATTTGAGGCCCTGAGTTCAATTCCTATCAATTCAGACCAAAAATATCACATATTTATATCAGCAAAAGATGACAAATGGGGCCTGCACAATGGGATGGTATTTTTCACCCATTAAAAGGAATGAAATAGTGACAATGACACACCATGGGTAAAGCTTGAGAATGCACCAAATAACACACACACACTGAAGAATTCTAGTGTGTGATTCCATATTTATGAAATGCCCAGAACAGAAAATTCCACTAGTGGCTGACAGGAGCTGGAAGGCACACTAAATGAAGAGTGACTGCTTAGTATTTGGGGTTTGGGGAGAGGGTGTGTGAGTGTGAACATGGTCTGGAATCACAGAAGTGATGAATATAAGACACATACTTCACATGCATGGCGATTTGATCTCAATAGCGCTAATATTAAAAAACAGAGTCAGCCAGGCAGTGGTGGAGCACGCCTTTAATCCCAGCACTCAGGAGGCAGAGGCAGGCAGATCTCTGTGAGTTCGAGGCCAGCTTGGTCTACAAGAGCTAGTTCCAGGACAGGAACCAAAGCTACAGAGAAACCCTGTCTCAAAAAAACAAAACAAAAACAGCTGAGAGGCTGAGTTCAGGGCCAGTGAGGACAACATGATGCAAGGAGGAGCAGAAGGAACAGAGAATGACACTTTAGAAACGAACTTGAGAATAGATCAAAAGCAGGACAGCACTAATAAAATCTTAGTACTGAGCACAGTTGCCTCTGATTCCACAGCCACTGAGGAATCAGAAGTCTCCAGTAGTTGGCTTACAACTGCTACCCTGCAGTAAGCAATGCAGAGAAAGCTTATTTACGTCCCTTTCCATTTTTATACTTTGTGGCAAGGTCTCAGGTAGCCCAGATGGCCTTAAACTTGCTGACCTTGAATTTGGGTGCCCCCTGCCTCTACCTCAGAAGAGCTGAGATTACAGGTGTACCCCACTAGGAATGGGATCCAGAAGAGCCTTAGCTACATAAGCAATAAACCTGTTACATGCTCACTAAGCTTCCTGTACGTGCCTCACACCTGCTTGAGGATTCACAAGAATGCATTTCTCTTGCCCTTCTATGGCAATTAACAACAGGTAAGCGATACTAGAATGCTCTTCAGGTCAGAGAATATTTGGTACCAGGCAGCACCATTTCCTCCTGCTAGCTCACATATGCATTTTTCAGGGGACAAAACAGAAGAAAGAAGGGACAAAAAAAAAAAAAAAAAGAAAGAAAAAAGGGACTAAAGTCAACAAAAACACAGACATCATCCCTACAAAAACATCCAATATCTCTGCAGCAAACTGCCCAATAAACACTATCAGATTGCAATGCACTAAGGACAGCA